CGGCCCCCGCTGCCCCCCCATCTGCCTAAGCCTCTGCTCTTTGTGTGTTTTCTGTTTTTGTGTATCTGGTCCTGTTTTCCCACTCACTCCTCAGTCTGCCTCTCCACTCCTCAGTCTTTATCATTCACACCTGTCCCTCATCAGCCACCTGCCCAGGTGCTCTCATTACTCACTCTCCCTCTGCCTTATAAAAAGCCTTTCTTTCCTTCACTCCTTGTCCGGTGATTGTTCTGTGTTCACAGATTTCTCAGTCCTCCTCTGTCTTGTCAGTTTTTGTCCCTCTGATGATCTGCTCTGCCTAGTTTCTGATCCTGTCTGCCAAAGTAAGTTTTGCTGCACCGACAGCCTTTTGTTTTGTTATTTAAAATAAATTATTTTTATTTTAAACTCCTGCCTCGCTCGCCTCCCTGCAATTGGGTTCCAACCTCGAGGATCGTGACACCCACCTGCTATTTGCATTCCAGAATCAATCGGTTTACAAATTGAGCCCTGATGATTACCATACCAAAATTTGGGGGTGGGGAGGGGAGTGTGTTTTAACAGCTTTGATAATATATGGAAAGCAATCTTTTTAATATGATACCTGTTTAAAGCAAATATGTATAATTAATTTCTTCTTAATCAAAAGATATATTTCATACACCCAGAATGCAGTTTATTGTATCCACAGTCAAATTTTAGACAGCTTAGTTGTTATCCCTTAGATAAATGAAGCTACTTTTTGGTCCATGTTTGTTTGGCTCTAGATATTTGCACATATGTTCATTTCTATCTAGAATGAAATTGGAAAATGTTTGAAACAGAACTACATCCATCAATCATCTGCCACTTGTTTGTGACTAACTGCGGGGGCTGCGGAGGACTTCAATGTCTTTCAAGATCCAACAAGAGACGAAGTCTCTCCAGTGTGTCCCAAGTCTTTCTTGAGGTCTCTTACCAGTTGGACATGCTTGAAACCCCTCCCCAAGGAGGCATCCAGGGAGAATCTTTACTAGATGCCCAAACCACTTGGGCTGGCTTTTCTCAGTAAGGAAACACAGCAGCCATTCTGTGAATCTCTCCCAGGATGTTCTCACAGAGCCATCCAATATGGAGAAAACTCATTTTGACCACCTGTATCTAAGAATATATTATTTTGGTCATAACCCAGAGTTCATAACCATACATGAAGGTGGGAATGTTGATTGACTGGTAAACAGAGAGCCTGCCCCCTGAGGCCGTTCCTTCCAATCAAGCATTTCCAGATTGCACTGTCGTCTGTGGTCATTGACGATTCCCAGAAGACTGATGGAATCCACAGCTAAAGCAACTTCCAACACCATCTTCAAGGAATCTATAACCAGCCGGGTGGTCTGTGAGCCTCACACCAGCTCGGCACCTCTCCTCATATGCAACACCAGAGTGGAATAAGGTCCAGCCCGTCTTACGGAGACTGATTTCAGAACCCATGCTGTGCAGTGAGGTGAGTCCAGTTATAATTAGTTGGTACCTCTCAAACTCACACACAAGCTCATAGTCTTTCCCCGCCAGAGAGGTGACATTCAGCAATCCGAGATCCAGCTTTGGTAGGTCAGAGTCAGTGTACCACGGCCCCCTCCTTCAGCTGCCACCCAAACAAGACACATAGCACGCTTATACTGTATAGCTGTTTAGAAGAAAACGTTTGGAAAAAGGCTCACCAATATACACATAAATCAATTTACAGTATATTTCAAAGATGTTTACTTATCTCAACCATACTCTCACACATACCCATAAACATATATATGTAGATGCCTTGTGGAGCAGGGTTGGCCAGTTGCAGATACATCAGAGCATCCGCCATAATGGATGTGGCAGATCTGCTGATCAACTAATACAAGGAAATGGACTGAACTTCATAAAGCACCTTTCTACAAAGTGTTTTAAGTTCATTCCTGTCTTTCACACACACACTAATATACAGCATTTGAAAAAAAAGAAGAAGAAACAGGCATAAAAGACTTTTAACGTGATTATTAAAAAAGTTTACTGTACTCCTTAAATGTTTAGGTTATAGGTAAGCGCTAAACCAACATATGTATTCTTCTGAGTGTCTACAACTACAAACGTATGTAACATTATTACTGTGGTGATAAATATAAAAATATTCATATTTAACATTTAATCTATGTCTACAATAAACAGATCCTGAAATGTAATGTGACGTACAGATTTTCTGAATAAAGAGCTCTAACATTCACATTTAACTGATTCTGATTAATCACATCTATGAACATATACATACACCATAATATCTTTACAGCGGGGTGGGGGAGTATTGAATATATATATATATATATATATATATATATATATATATAT